CTCACATGTCATGGTCATGTATGCGGCATGAGACTCGCTGGAAGGAAGGAGTCGCACTTCGTCCCCGGCCCACTCCTGGGGCGTTGGGAGAGCAAACGTCGGGAGCCCTTTCACTCGTACGGGAATAGCCGGATGTCCATTTTCCGTCGTGAGGAGCTTGAGATCTTGTACTCCAAGGTGACGAAACGAGGCGCTGTGTCCTTCAACATCATAAAGCATGCCAATCTTGCTCAGGACGTTTCTTGACAGGAGAAGGGGGACCTCTCCCTGGACGATGGAAGCCCTGACCAAGAAGCCGCGTCCACCAACGAAGATCGCAATCGTGGCAGTGAAGGTAGCCCGGGAAAGCTTGGAGGCCCCGAACCTGAAGTCGTCCTGGGTGTCGATGAACTGCATCTCAAGGCCCGCTTCCCGGGCAGCCAACATGTACTTCTGGAGCCACGCCTGTCCCGCCACAGATTTACTGCATGCGGAGTCGGTGATGGCGACCAAGCCCTGACCCCCCATGTAGCCGACCTCATAGGCAACCTGCACCACAAACGCCTCCCTGGAGCTGTCCTTGGCGCCCGAGGAACCACCAGGCTTCGTCATCTGGCCTCCAGGCTGATTCATTGGGCGCTCTGGGTCTTTGTGCCAGTGCCCCCTGCGGCGGCATCCAGCACAATACGAGCGACTTTTGGCAAGCTGCAACCTGGCCTCAGGAGTATCCTTGTTGCTGGCTTCGTTCCTGGAACCATCCTTGCGAAGAAAACTAGGATCCACTCCCCGAGCCTTCGTGATCTCCCTGTACCGGGCCTTGGCTGACTCCTGAGCCATGAACGCCTCGTGCATCTCAGAGGCTTCTTCCTCGGTCATCAGGTGCTCTGTCTCCTCCTCGGCAATGTCGTCCTCGTCAATCTCGGTCAAGAAGGCACCTCGCACAGGTTTTCCTTTGCCCCCATCAGGATTGCCGTTGCCGTTGCGCCTCACGAACCACGGGGGCTTAAAGGACTTCTCGTGGAGGACTGCTGCCTTCTGCAACTTTGCCGTATTGTACTCATTGCCCACGGAAGCAAGGAGGGCAAGTTCCTCTGCACTCGTGAGGCCGAGGGCATTCAAGTACGCCCAGGCCTTTGCGACTTCAGGGAGGCGACAGTCGATCTCCAATAAGCGGGTGTGGCCACGGTCGAATGCTGAGTTGAACTCACGGATACTCTGACCTCCTTCACGTCTCAGCTTCTTGAAGAACTGAGTCAAGGCCTCGGCTATCTTCGACACCTCGATCTCCTGGTACCTTTCCTGGATCCATCTCTTAAACTCCTGCACGCCGTACTCGGAGGCCAACAACTCGACACTGAGCTCTTCAGACTCCACCCACGCTCTTCCGCTAAGATTCTGGTAAAGCAAGAGGGCTCTTTGCGACGCCGGAGTTCTCGTCACCTTGCACCAGGCATCGATCTGCCTCAGGTACGAGCGGGCTGAGCTGCCAAGCTCATCCCCCGTCTTGTCTGCCGAAAAGCTCGGCACAGCCATCCGCTCACTCAGGCCACCTTTGAAGTCCTGGCCTTCTTTCGAGGTCGTAGTAGGGACCGGGGGCGTGGTCGTGGAAGTCCCGGAAGTGGTTTCCCCAAGGCTCCCTCTCCGCTCTCTGTCAGGACCAGGAACACGATTGTTATCTGGGCCCTGTGCATCTCGGTCTCCGTAGTCACATCGGCCACCACTTCCTGGCGATTGTGCCTCGCTGGCACCACTCCCACGAGATTCACCCGAGCCTCTGCCCGAGCCATCGGAGGCCTGGTCATCAGGACGACCGGCCTGTCCCTCAGGAGGACCTTGGTAGTGGGCCCGCGGATCTGTTGCATCACGTTGATCGTTCCTGCCAAAATGGCCGGAATCTTGACCCCCACTTGGATGCCTAGCACCATCCCTATCATCCCAGGCATCATACCACCACTGCCGCCCGCCATAGTAGCCATCTCCAGTCCACCACCCAGCGCTACGCCAAGTAGACTGTCCCCAGGCCCCATGCGAGCGATCCCAAGTTCGCCAAGGATCATCATGACGCCAAGGATCACCCTGACGCCCGTCAACGGTCATGTGAGGACTAGGATCTGCCGCAGGCACATTCGTGTCAAGAGAGGGTGCATGCTGATCTGGTGCTGCACTGTCTTGCCCGGCAGTAGGCACATGGCCATCCGAAGCCATTGCACACAGGCTTTGCCTACACTTCCCACCACGAAACAAGACGAGAACAAACAAGGGAAGACAAGACAAACAAACCAACGAACCACCAGCCTAGCCCAGGACCGCGGCCTAGGCTCCGCTACCAATGACAAAACAAAGAGAACGAAACCGAACCCCAACCGAAAGAAGACCCTCGGGGCCCCCGCCTGCTGTGCACGACCTCGCGCACGTTTTCCTCTGACCAAAAGCCTGCGGGCGGATCTCGTCGACGCCTTGCAGAAAGTTGGGTTTATCATTTAGGGTTTAGGGTTTAGGACTTGTAGGGGCTTAAAGTGTACCTAGACCTCATATAGCTCTCAAGTGACCCTGAACCACGTAGTTCTCCAACCCAAACCCCAAAATCCTGAACCATGAAACCCTGGCGGGAGTTTACGAAAATCAGGGACCCCTATTTTCGACCCCCAAATACTAGGATCCCCTTCTTCTAAGGACCCCATAAAGAATTTCGGAAACACCCGTGCAGACCCCTGAGAAGTTTTCGACCTGATCTCGAACTCTACTACCGGACACTATGACAGCTGCAGTTTAGGGCTTAGGGTTTTGGGGTGTAGGGTTTAGGGTTTAGGGTTTTGGGGTGTAGGGCTTAGGGTTTAGGGGTAAGGCTGCTTTCGAGCCAATCAAAGCTGTACTTACAACCCACTTATAAGCCCGACAGCTGCCTTCGGGCCTCTCATCTGGGCGCCGCCCAGGGCTTGTCGGGTTTGCAGTGCTTATGGTTGGGGATCGGAATTCAGGGATAAGCGCAGCCTAGACCCTATACCTGCGCCTTCAAACCTCACATGCTATGGTCATCTACACATCCGTGTCAATAATCGCGATATTCCCGAAACCCTAAACCCTAAACCTTAAACCCTGAACCCTAAACCCTAAACCCTAAACCTTCGGGGGGGGGGGGGGGGGGGGAGTGATTTGGGAACCCAAGACCTTAGCCCGTGCCAACCGTGCTCTCCAGACAGTTCAGCACGCCAGGGTTTAGAGTTTGGGGTTTAGGGTTTGGGGTTTAGGGTTTAGGGTTTGGGGTTTGGAGTTTAGGGTTTAGGGTCCTATAAGGCTTTTTAAGGGGCATTCTGAGGTAGGCATCTCTAGGCGCTTGCCGCTTCGTGGACGGCCTGAGCGGCGCCACCACCGAGGTGGTGAAGGTCCCTGCAGCTTTCGGGTGGTGTAGGGTTTAGGGTTTAGGGTTTGGGGTTTAGGGTTTAGGGTTTGGGGTTTGGGGTTTAGGGGTTAGGGTTTAGGGTTTAGGGTTCAGGGTTTAGGGTTTAGGGCTCTCAACCTCCAAGGTATTGTATGATGCAGGTTACCCAGGGTCCAGCATAGACATAGTTGAGAGGCTTTCGACGCCAAGTGTATATTTGGAGTGGGGTATGAACCCGTATTCAAGCATCCGGAAGTGTAGGGTAGGTATCCATGTTTTTCTAGTGTTGCAGGTACTCGTGATGGGTTTTCCTGCCATGGCTCCCGGAGCGAGGAAGGCATCTAAGTATTGAGTGGCTTGGTGTGAGTGTTCCACTGTTTGGTCTTTAGGGTTAGGTTAAGTTTAAGGGTTTAGGGTTTAGGGTTTAGGGCTTAGGGCTTAGGACTTAGGGCTTCGTGTTTAGGGTGCCCAGGAGCTGCATCGGAAGAGTTGCCACGATCTGCCGGAGCATGACGCCTGGCATTGAGGCAGAGCGGTTGGGACCTTGGGATTGCCCTCTGGTTCTTAGTTGGGCATGAGGAAATGAGGGCCCTACATAGTCCACTAAAGGGTATATGTAGGGCCCTCTAAACCCTGAACCCTGAACCCTCAACCCCCAACCCCCAACCCTCAACCCTCAACCCTCAACCCTCAACCCTAAACCCTAAACCCAAAATTCCCTACTAAGGACCAGCCAGTTTGTGGATATGCAGTGAACAGTGAACAGCTTGCTTCCATCCCCTTGCCAAGTCTCGACTCGAAAGATTGCAAAGCTACTCTGTTACGGGGGCTTCGGTTTTATGATTTCTTTCCCTAAACCCTAAAACTCCTAAACCGTAAAGCCTAAACCCTAAACCCTACTAAATCCTGAACCCTAAACCCTACCTTCTCTCATCGAGCTTAACCCTATAAACCCGATACATTTGGCGGTTGGAGGGATCAAGCCGACTTACCAAAGCGTTAAGCCCTAAGCCCTAATTAAGCCCTAAACGCTAAACCCTAACCCTAACCCTAAACCCCAAACCCTAAACCATTCGTGCTCAGGGTTGAGGGGTTCGGTGTAGGGTTTAGGGGTTGCCGTTGTCAGATACTTCTAGTCCAGTCACCCGGCAAAATGGCAAATGCCAGAATAATAGTACTTCTGATACCCTGAGCATAGCCCTGCCTCGAGTCACCTTTCTCATATGTCCCTTATGTGTGCATAGATTTCTGCACATGGTCCGCAGTCGGGCGTCCCACAAGTCCGCACGTTCCAATCCAAGAGCTTGCGTAGCCATACACCTACACTCCTAAACCCACTAAAGCCCCAAACCCCTGAACCCCAAAACCCCTAGATAACCCCAAGCCCGCCCCACCCCCTCCCCCCCCCCTTTAACCTCGAAGCCGCACGTGGGCTGAGGAATACATCGAAATTGCGCTGAAGGCACAAGGCTTCCTAGCTCAGCCCTGGGAGGATTGAGGGTTGAGGGTTTTGGGGGTTTCGGGCTTCAAGGGTTTAACGGGCTTTAAGGGTAGTTTTAGAGGTTTGAAAGGTTTAGGGTTTAGGGGTTTCGGTGCCTTGTGCTTAAAACCTTGGGGCGGGACACATGCTCCTGTCGTGAACATGGCAGACGCTACTGTGAAATCAACGAGGATGAGATCAATGCAAGAAAGACAGAAAACAGCGCAGAAAGGTGCCTTTAATTGTCAAGGTGGTCGTTTGAGCATACTTCCCGAGAGATACGAAGCCCACTTAGCAGGAAAACTCACCAACACACCGGGGGTTTCGGGAGAAAACTGTCGGAAGAAACCAAGAGTGATAAAGACAAGACGAACCAAGTCATACTCAAAGTCCTTAGACACGACTTCACCGACATCAGCTTGAATGTTCTTTAATCCCATTGCGAGACTGTAATTGATCTTAATGCAGTTATATATATATATATATATATATTTTTTTTTTATTTATCTATGTGTTTTCTTGATTATTGTTATTCTTGTCCTCATATCAGAGTTACAACCCTTAATCCCAAACCCTGAGCCAAATTCAAAAAGCCCCCCTTGCCTATTTAGATAGGTTGAGGTATGTAGTATTCCTAGGATGGCGACTTAGGTTGGGATCTTGGGATTTTGAGAGGAAAATGGTGCGGTTTGGGGGGTGAGGGCAGTTGTCATGCTCGATGAAGAATGGGATGCTGGAGATTTGGACGCTTGCGGGCAAAAGACTGGCCGGCTGAAAATGGAAATGTAAGGTCTGGCAAGTTGGAACGAGTTGCGGAACGATGATGGTATAATACTTGTTGAGATAATATTTTTCTGACTCGGGGGTGGGGGATGAAGTGGTATGCTGTTGGAGAAAATGGTTGGGACAAATGAGTGGAGAATGGGGTTTTGGTGGGCGGGGGGTATATGCGCGGTGCCATACAGCTAAATAGGCAAGGTTTCCTGCAACTCTATAACCCCTGTATAACTTTGGAAGCCCTTCATGACCTCTATATATCCCCGGACATATCCCTTCCATATCCCTTCCATATCCCTTCTTCTGCCCTCAGCCAGAGCCCTAAACCCTAAACCCTAAACCCTAAACCCTAAACCCCAAAGAAGCCCACGAAAGGCTGGTCCGGCGCAGGGCAGAGGAGCCAGGCCTTCGCCGGCGCTTGCGTCGAGAAGGTGCGGGCGCTGAGCCCCTGGAGGGTTCGAGGGGCTGTAAGGGTTCGGGGTTTAGGGTGAGGGTTAAGGAGGTTTATGTCAGGGTTACAGGAGGGTTATGAGGGGGTTATATGAAGGCTATCGGAGGGTTCTGTAAGGGGTAGAAGAAGGTCAGGATTATACAAGGGTTATAGGAGCGCTTTAGGAGGGATACAAGGGTCTCGTGTCAAATGCGACAGGTTTTAGGAGGGTTCTGTTTGGTTATATAAGGGTTTCAGGAGGGAGTCCAAGGGATTTTGGAGGGTTAGAAAAAAGGTATGTGAGGGTCATGTCAAGGATATACAAGGGCTAGAAGGGTTATGTAAGGGTTAAAGGAGGGTTACAATAAGGTTGTATATTTGGGTTATGAGGGTTGTAAGGGTTATGCCAGGGTTATAGGAGGTATAGGAAGGTCATACAAGGGCTATGTGGGTTTCAAGGGTTATCTGAAGGTTACATGGTTTTAGGGTTGTTTAGGGCCATCAGGGGTTTCGGCATGTAAGCTAGGTGGGACTTTACTACAGCTTTATCACTTTATATGTTTTGAGGCTCCGCTAATTTCATTTTCAGAGAGCTACAAGTTAAACTTTTACTGGGGGGGGGTTAAAGAGCAACCAAGTATTTAAAGGTCTTGGCTTCGGGTTGAGGGTTTCCCAAAAAAACGATGCCTAAACCCAAAACCCTAAACCCAAAACCCTAAACCCAAAACCCTAAACCCTAAACCCTAAACCCTAAACCCTAAACCCTAAACCCATGCCCCTTCGCATCTGCCTGTTCACCAGGGGGGCGGCTGTGACGAAGATGCGCAGCTCCGGGATCACCTTGCCGCTTCCCCTTCAATAAGGGTTTCGGGTTGAGGGTTTAGGGTTTAGGGTTTAGGGTTTCGGGTTTAGGGTTTAGGGTCTAGGGCTTAGGGCTTGCGTGAAGGTTTCTGCATATTTGACAGCAGGGGTATAAGTACCCTAAATACGTTCATAAGCATAGTACCTATACACTACGTATAAGTACACACGAACCTCCAAGTAGGGTTCAGGGTTTAGGGTTTAGGGTTTAGGGTTTAGGGTTTAGGGTTTAGGCGTTCAGACTTACACTCACGGGGCTCACAGGGCTTCAGACTTACACTCATAGGATCCTCAGGGCTCAAGGTTTCGTAGCGTTCGGGGTTCCGTTTAAGGTTTCGGGTTTAGGGTTTAGGGTGTAGGGGGTTTAGGGTTTAGGGGTTAGGGGTTTTAGGGTTTAGGGTGTTTAGGGTTTCGGGGGTTTAGGGTTCAGGGGGTTTAGGTTTATGGATTAGGGTTTCGGGTTCAGGATTTAAGGTGGGTGTATGGTTTGGAGTCAGGGGGTTCCTTTCTGGGGTTAGGGTTTGGGCTTACCAGTAGACTAGGTAACCCTTAACGTTTTTGGGGACTTCTAATCCCAATAAAATCCCAAAGGTTAACCCTTAATTCCCCCAGGTTACTGGACAAGTAAGTGGGGTTCAGGGTTTAGCGTTTAGGGTTTGGGGCTTAGGGGGTTAGGTTTTAGCGTCGAAACGCTGTTCTTCTAGGGATGCCCAGTCGAAGCATTCCCTCCTTTTTTTGTTCATAGGTTTTCGGGTGCAGGGTTCACAGGGCGATCCCTCATAAACCCTGAAACCCTCACCCTAAGCCTTGTTGCTCAGCTAGCTGTTCTTGGACTCTTGGACCCAGAGTCCAAGAACAGCTAGCTGAGCACAAGGTATTCGGAATAGGGAATTTCCCTAAACCCTAAACCCTAAACCTTAAACCCTAAACCCTAAACCCTAAACCCTTTCTTAGGCTGTAGGTTCCAGTATAAGCCTTCAGCCACAAAGGGCACCCTTCGTATTCCTAGGTTACTCTTGAGTCTAGTGTTCTAGGGATACCTGAACCCTACACCCATGTCCCCGCCCTAAACCAAAGAAGCTGTTTCTTGGTTGGCTGTCAAAGTCTTGGGTTTAGGGTTTAGTATTTAGGGTTTAGGGTTTAGGGTTTAGGGTTTAGGGTTTTCGGGCTCCGGGCTGGAGACTCTCTGATCCCGGCAAGGATGTCGTTTTCGCCGACGGTTGTCGCGAGGGGCATCCGACACTGCAACACACTTGGCCCAGGGAAAGTGAGCTGCTTGGTTTAGGGTTTAGGGTTGAGGGTTTAGGGTTCAGGGTCTAGGGTCTAGGGTCTAGGGTTTAGGGTTTAGGGGCCTTATTCCCTTTTTTGGGGGGGCTCTAGGTTCCCCTATAAACCCCTTTAAGCACAAAAGGGGCACCCTGCTGACCTTTAAACTTTTTGAAGTACGAAACCCTAAACCCTCAAGCCCATCCAACTTGAAAAACTATACAGCCAACGAAGAAACTCCTCACAACTTTCCACGAAACATTCGAAACTTTCCCGAACCTGAAAATCCTGAAGGTGGCGAAGCTCCCGGCACAAGCCCGAAGAAGCATTGGTTTAAGGTGCAGGGATTCGGGCTTAGGGTTTAGGGTTTTAGGGTTTAGGGTTTAGGGTTTAGGGTTTAGGGTTTAGGGTTTAGGGTCTAGGGTTTAGGCCCAGGGGTCTATTTCGTCGAGGGTTTGGGACTGGCGTTTTTGGAGTTTGGAAGCGCACAAAGTGAGGATTGGCATGGCGGACGGCTACGCGCAGTGGTGGCTCAGAATGAAGATCACAAAGAGCCGCTAAAATAAGTCGTAACCATAGACTTTAGGGTATAGGGCTTGCTTGCAAGTAGGTTAACAAGTGCCCACCCAAAAAGATGAAAACCGTACTTACCCTACATGTCTGTAATTTGTCGGAACCCCGGGTGAAATGCAACCCTAACCCCTAAACCCCTAAACCCCTAAAACCCTAGAACCCTGAACCCTAAACCCTAAACCCTGAAACCCTCAAATCCTAAAACCCTAAAACCCCAAAACCCTAAAGCCCTAAAACCCTAAACCCTAAACCCTCAAACCCTAAAACCCTAAAACCCTAAAACCCTAAAACCCTAAAACCCTAAAACCCCTAAACCCTAAAACCCTCAAACCCTAAAACCCTAAAACACTAAAACCCTAAAACCCTAAAACCCTAAAGCCCTAAAACCCTAAAACCCCTAAACCCTGAACCCTAAAACCCTCAAACCCTAAGCCCTAAACCCTGAAACCCTAAAACCCTAAAACCCTAAAACCCCTAAACCCTAAACCCTAAAACCCTAAAACCCCAAGACCCTAAAACCCCTAAAGCCCTAAACCCTCAACCCTAAACCCCAAACCCCAAACCCTAAACCCTAAACCCTAAACCCTAAACCCTAAACCCTAAACCTAAACCCTAAACCCTAAACCCTAAACCCTAAACGGAAGCTGCTGGAGCCCTCGGAGCCCGCAAGCCACGAAAGGCACTCATGCCCGACACATCGATCGAAGCTTGAAGCCCTCAATTTGGGATGTTTCTCCCTAGGGTATAGGGTTTAGGGTTTAGGGTTTAGGGTTCAGGGTTTCGGGTTTAGGGTTCAGGGTTTAGGGTTTAGGGTTTTGGGTCGGGGTGTTTCCCCATTATGCGAAAAAAAGGGGGGGGATACTAAATACCCTAAACCCCAAACCCCAATCCCTGTCAAAGACTTTTTGGTTTATTGGGGGCTATATGCCCAAATTCTGAAACCTAGCACTGCATCCCTAAACCCTAAACACTAAACCCTAAACCCAAACACCCCTAGTTCCCCCCCCCAAAGAACTTAACTTTCCTCAGCCCTGATAACCCTTTGAATGCCTGTCATTCCGAAAGCCTTGAAGACTTGCAACCTTTGCCTCAAAATATATCCCTCCTGTGTAATCCTTTAGAACTCCAAACCCTAAACCCTAGACTCTAGACCCTAGACCCCAGACCCTAGACCCAAGACCTAAGACCCAAGACCCAAGACCCAAGACCCAAGACCCAAGACCCAAGACCCAAGACCCAAGACCCAAGACCCAGACCTAAATACACACATATATATATATATATATGTATTTATATTTATGGTCAATTCTCGAAATTGCGGCCTCTTTTTGTGCGGCATCTGGGACCTGCCTGATAATCGTGAGCCCAGGAGGGACCAGAATTCAGAGAAGTGGCCACACACACATATGCATATATATATATATATATATAAACATGTGTAATATAATAATACATAAAATACAAAACTGTAGTCTATGATATATGTATATGTGTGTGTGCGTAGAATTACATGTTTTTAAGATTTACTTGCGTTTGCTGAAACATTTTTGTTTTCTTTCGCAGCCCCTGTGGCAAGCTTGCAACTCCCCCCCCCCCCCCCCCCCCAGGCTCGACCGCCTGGACTCCCGGTCGATGGCGCGTGCCGAGGTGCCAAGCCAGGTTGTGCACAGGGTAGGCTAAGGGGTTCATAGGGGGGGGGGGGGGGGGTATATATATATATATATATATTTTGTATGATATATATATATATAATATATAATATATATATATATATATGTATATACATATAAATATAAATATAAATATATATATATATATATATATAAGATAAAGAGTGTGTCCCTTATATATATATATAGACATATTGACAGTGATATATGAGGGTGAGTTTTTCTATGTGTACACGCATATACATATACATATGAACAAAGGCATACTTCCATGGACATTTTTTCGGGTTACTATATATATATATATATATACACATATATTTATATATACACATATATATATATACACATACATATGTGTGTATATATATATATATGAGGGTTGTATCTACGGTTTTGTATGAGAGTTTTACGGGCCTCTAGGGAAGCCTTGCGCTTTAGCAGATGTTGGGGGCTTTGGGTCCGGGTTTTGCATGGCGATGCCGGCATTAGTGATCTCCTGGCGCAATTGAGCTTAGGGTTTAGGGTTTCCGGTTTAGGGTTCAGGGTTCAGGGTGTAGGGCTCCACAGGCAGGAAGCACGATGCCGGACGCGGCATGCTTGAGAGACAGCTTCTAAGGGGTGGCCATGGGGAGGGGGAGAGGGGGGTAGCGGGATGAGGGTATGGTTTAGGCTTTGGGGTTTGATGGTTTAAGGCTTTTGCGTTTGGAGGAGGGTACTGAGGTAAACCGTCAACCACCAGCAGAGAGTTTGGCAGAAGCAGCGCCTTCAGCCTAACCCTAAACCCTACACCCTAAAGCCTAAAGCCTAAAGCCTAAAGCCTACAGCCTAAGCCCTAAAGATAACGCGTAGGGTATATTCCCAGGGTCCCTACGAAGAGCCAGTAAGCTACTGCATGGTCTCAGTGCCAACCCACAACTGCCGCCTGTGCCAGCCTTAAATTAGGCAGCCCCTCTGCAACAAAACCCCTGATAGGGTTTAGGGTTTATAGGGTTTAGGCTCCCCTCCCCGTCCCCCCGGCCACATGCCCCCCGATTCAAAAAGACAAACAAAGCGGAGCAACCACCTTATCCAACATTTTTGGGACCCCTATAGTTTTTACAGCAGTCACCTCCCTCCCCTCTCCCAGCTACCAGTCCCTAGCAGGCACAACCGGGAAATAGGTAACTTGTCTCTCGTTCCCTTCTTCCCTATGAACAAAGTTAGACCCTAGACCGTGAGACCCTGAGACCCTGAAACCCTGAAACCCTGAAACCCTGAAACCCTGAAACCCTGAAACCCTGAAACCCTGAAACCCTGAAACCCTGAAACCCTGAACCCTGAAACCCTGAAACCCTGAAACCCTGAAACCCTGAAACCCTAAACCCTAAACCCTAAACCTTTAAACCCTAAATCCTAAACCCTAAACCCTCAACCCTAAACCCTCAACCCTAAACCCTAAACCCGAAACCGGAATCAGGGCTCGGGTTAAGTTTAGGGTTCATCTGTGGCCTGTGCTTCAGGTCATCTCGTGGGCTTCCCTGTTGGATCCATGGCTACATGGGCGGTTCTCGAAGTGAGTGGCCTTAGGGTTTAGGGTTTAGGGTTTAGGGTTTAGGGGTTAGGGTTTAGGGTTTAGGGTTTAGGGTTTAGGGTACCCTAAACCCGAAACCCTAAACCCTAAACCCCAAAAAGGCTAGTCTACAACGAATACAGCAGCTGCAAGGGGCTACCAGTGCAATCCCCCAAGTTATACTACCCAACTTTTATGCGGGGGTACCTACTTTTAGAGGTTCCTATCAGAAGCTAGGACACAGAGTTGGCCACCATTCCCTTGTTTTTTGGGGGTTTTTGTTTGGGGTTCAGGGTTTAGGGTTTAGGGTTTGGGGTTTAGGGTTTCGGGTTTAAGGCTACTGGGACCCAGAGTAGGCCCCCATTCCCTTGTTTTTCTAGTTTCAGGTCTAAAAATCATTTTATTATGGATTTTTAGAAGAATGCATTTGCGTACTTATTCTGCTTTCCCGCGCAGTTTTCCAGCTGTTCAAGCTCATTGACTCTTCTGACGCCATGGCGGAGAAGGGCGCTGACCCACCCGCTGATGAGAAACCTGCTGCCCCATCCTCTGAGCAGCAGAAGAAGCGCCAGAAGTTGTCTGTGAAAGAGAGGTTCAGTGAGTACCGGACAAAAACCGAGAAAACTGAAGCCTCATCCTCCAACAGCAAGGGCAAAGGCAAAGCGACGAAGGGTTTTGAGAAGGACAAAAACAAGCCTTTGGCCAATGTCAAGCAAGATCCGACTCTTTATCCTGCGAATTTAGCTCAGCTGAATGTCGCATTCACTACGCAAAGCTTTGAAACCAATGTTGGAGTCCTGCCCGGGAATGTCATGAAGGTTGGCCAGATTGCGCGTGACATGTGAGCACTCAGACCGCTAGTACCAAAGCGGACAAAGTGCGGTTCACGCCACATGTGCTGACCTGTATGGATGTGACTGCTATTGAAATTGCAGTCCAGTTCAATTACCTGCGGCCAGAAGATACGCTGAGAATGGAGGAAGGACCTGGTGACCACCAGTTCAGCGTTAGTTCTGTCACCCGAATACTGTGATTCTTGAGTCACACCCATTCCGCAGCCGTTTTGAAGACACATGAGGTTACGTACATCCTAAATATTGCTTCTGTGATTTGGGGAGCTTCTGTTCTACCGGGAAAGTTGCAGTGAAAGTTTGACCTGCGCAACTCTTTCACTAAGTTCGTCACTGTCCCGCATGCTGTCACAGCAGTCACGAGCGCAATTTTGCAGGGAAGCCGGAGCTTGAGCAGGTGAGTTGGAAAACCATGGTAGCCGCCCGTGGGCATCATGTGAGGGCCACATAGCGCCGCCGGGCCGCGCTGGCGGCGGAACGTAATATGCTGCGTTCGGGCGGACCCGGCGTAGTGAGGCGGGGTGGTTGACAGGCGTCGCCGTGTCTTCGGCCCGCAGTCTCAGGATAGCTGTGCACGGGTGTTCCCGGTGCAGAGAGGAAGGGCGGTGCGGCGGACAGACTCCCGCTCTGGTGGCAGGCAAACACCGCAGTCCATCCCCCGAGGAGGCCATGGCCTAATGCGGACTCGCGGGCCCGTTGGCTTTTGTGGTTAAGTGACGCTCAGCCGGGGCGTCAGTGCTCCCCTTGTGCCGCCCACAGAGGCGGATCTCCGAGCTGGCCTCAATCCTTAAAGCGCCGCAGTGTTACTAACGTTTGAGTGTGTTCCCCTCAGTTTCTTGCGAAACTCGACGATGCACTATTAGCTCACTGACATCGAGAGGGCTCACGGTTCTCATGCTGCCCTTAGGTTATTTTTTGGTTTTGCTCTAGTGGCGCAACTTGTTCTTCGAATCAAATTGCAGCATGTCGGGCCGGTATTCCAACACCTCAGCTTGCTTCATGGTTGCAGCGACCGCATTTGTGGTGGTTTGCAGCTTTGGCGAAGCCTCGAAGATGACAGCAAGACTGTTAGCAGTGAGGTCAACACAAGGCCGCGTCCGTCACAGTCTAGATGATGACATTCTTCGGTGCATCATGACGACATGCAGACTAGGTCAAGGGGCTTTGTGTCCCCGTCTCTTTGGGTTTGAATATACGTGCCCCAGCTTTCCACACTGTGACTGTCTGCACTAGCTAGTTCTTTCCCCCACTTGAACTCTGTGACGGAGGGGGGCGATGACGCTTCTGGAGCCTCCCTGAGAAGTTAGGTAGGCCGCACCGTAAGTGCAGGTCGATACTCACTCACTCACTCACTCCCTCACTCACTCACTCACACTAGGTTTCAGGTTCCCTTAGACCCTTTTGAACAAAAAAGGGCGCCCTTTTTGTATTCCTGGTTACTCGTGGCTCTTCGAACATCTATGGGATCATACAGCGGTGCCCCCTTTTCTTGGTGACGGCGAGGGTTTAGGGTGAATTCAGAGGCAGTTTGGATTATGAGGGTGTAGGCTTGGGTGCAGCCCCCAAAAGTACCTCCATCCTTAAAGCCTCCTACGCCCCTAAAGCTGCTGGACGCTAAGCCCTTTTGTCCAAGCCCTAAACCCTGAACTAAGCCAATATCAGAAATCCTCGCGAAGGAATGCCCGGCAGCTGCTTGTGCATCGCTGGCCGTGCGCTTCGGGCACGGACTTAACAGTTGGGCCTCTGTTTTGTGTATGCGTGTTGTATGTTGTTTTTTGTTGTTTTTGTTTGTGTATGTGTGTGTGTGGGGTTGGGGGTTTAGGGGGTTTAGGGGATTCAGGAAATTACGGTTTAGGGCCGAGGGCTTCGGATCGGTTCTTCAAATGAGGGTCCTTGGAAACTTCTTCTAAAAACCCTTCCCTCTCCTGCTTGTGTTTTAGAAGTGCCTTTGCTCAGCACCTTGCCGTAGTTACCCTGGTTAGAACCCTACTTAAAAGTACCCATGAACGCTAAACCCTGAACCCTATAAACCCCAAAACACTCGAGGTACATGGCACTTGTTCAACATGACAACATGCCATTCTTGGCGCAAGCATTCCCCTTTTGGGCGTCGCTTAGCCCTAGCCAACCCATTGAGCTTTGGGGTTTAGGAGCTTGGGGCATTCCGCGAAAAAGGGGGGGGGGGGTTCGGGTTTAGGGTTTAGATTCCAGGGTTCCGAACAGACTTCAGATCAACCCCCCCCCCCCCCCGCCGCCCCCCAGTCCTCAACATTCCCAATATCCCACCTCCCACACCTTGAGCACTCCGTCGGTAAGCCCTCAAACCCTAAACCCTAAACCCTAAACCCTAAACCCTAAACCCTAAACCCTAAACCCTAAACCCTAAACCCTACCCCACAAAGCACCCCTTTCCAAGCCCAAGGCTGGCCCTGGGGGCTGCTGGCTCTGTGTCCGGCGCCCATGATGTCGACCGCACCTTCCTACCAGAGTGTAGGGTTTAGGGTTTAGGGTTTAGGGTTTAGGGTTTAGGGTTTAGGGTTTAGGGTTTAGGGTTTAGGGTTTAGGGTTTAGGGTTTAGGGTTTAGGCCACCTGCAGAGGCTCTTGGTCTGCAGGCCTCCCCAGCTCTCTTCAAGGTCATGCTCCGTCAGCGCCTGCGCCTCCCAGTCTTGGCATCTGATGAAGCCTGCCCCCTGTGCGACGGGGTGAACGACCGTATGGGGGACCATGCCCGGGTCTGCCCTTGCGGAGGGGATCGCGTGAAGCGCCATAATCGGCTCCGGTCCCTCCTTGCAGCCCGCGCCCAAGCAGCCGGGCTCAACCCTGAGGTTGAAAAACCTGGGCTCCTCCCTCCCCGCCCTTGTGAAGCTGGCGCCCCTGAAGATGGTGGCCGTGGGGCGGGCGGCAGGAGGCCTGCCGACGTCTGGGTCGGAAGCTGGGGGGCCCACGGGCCGGCGGCCTTCGACCTTGCCGTCACATCTGGTCTCCAACAGGGCAACCTCCGAATCGTCACCAACGACGGGAGCAAGCCGGTCGAGGACTACGAGGCCCGCAAGCGCACTTACCAGAACACACAAGCCGTGTGCAGCGCTTCGGGCTTCCAATTCATCCCACTCGTCGTGGAGGCGTGTGGGGGAGGCTGGGCGCCTGCGGCCGTCAAGGCCTGGAAGGACCTCGCACTTGCGTTGAGCACCAGCAGCGGCGATGGGGCGAGCCAGGAAGCCGAACGCCTCTACCAGGCCCTGGGCATCACTCTACACAGAGAAAACGCAAGGGCAGTGCTCAGACGAGCTACCCCCGCTACTCCGGTGGCCCCTCCACTCCTTGACCCTTGATGGCCCACTCCCAACGACGTCCCACAATCATTGGCCATTGCAGCATTCCATGTGCCAACGACCTCTTGAACATGTGAGGGGCATAATAAGGGTCGTACACATCGGTCCCAGCAAGGCTCTTTTTTCGAGTTTCTCTTAGGTTTGTCCTCTTGCGCCGCCCTCAGAAGTAGGCGCTGGCTTTCTAGTCAACTCGGGGGGCCCTTCTGTGCTCCTACTGCTTCTCTTGTGTTGCTTGTCCTTGCGACGCCCTCAGAAGTAGGGTGCAAGTACATCGCGAACTGAAGGTTTAGGGTTTGGGGTGGTTACGGTTGAGGGTTTAGGGTTTAGGGTTTGGGGTTTAGGGCTTAGGGCTTAGGGTTTAGGGAGTAGGGCTAAGGGGCCTGAATAATTAGAATAGGGTTTTGGGGTATGCGGGCGAAAGCCTGTCGAAGTCAATAATTCAAGAAGATGTCATCTGCATCCTCAGCAAAAGCTCAGAGCACTGAACAGATCTACAACTTGCTGCAGATGGACTGCAGCAGCAAAAGCATTGCATCATATTTCTGTGACCAAAGGTCCAGAGTCTGTACAGGAATGTCATGCGGCTTAGGACATCTTCGTGTGAGATTCCTAGGTTCAATCGAGTAATTAAGAAGTTTCTTGCAGCAAGCACATTCTTCAGCAGGAGCCCACACAGGTTCAAGCACATGTGTGCGGATGTCATTCTCAAGAAGCTGACTCTGTTTGAATAGGGTTTTGGGGTTGATTATGGCAAAATTATGCAGGGACCAGAAGGGAATACTATTGGATTCCGACCCCTATTGTATTTTTATTAGGGCTTATCGGGCTGAAAGTGTGTTTCGGGTTGATACGGTCTTAGGTCACAAGTCGCTTGCTCCTTCTGCGAGAGCTGCCTGTTTCGTTCCTACGACCTCCCCTTCCCGCCCTCTTAGGGGCTAAGGTTTAGGGGGTTTAGGGTTCAGGGTTTAGAGTTTAGAGTTTCGGATGGGCTTAACGTGTCGCACGTTGAGCCAGGTGTCCTCGTTGCGCCTGGCTCTGTGGTATGAATCTCGCGCACGTGGCCAGTCTAATCCCAAAGGAAGGTCGTGGGATCCCACTTGTAGAGGCTAGGAACAAGCTTGAACACTACCAAGCCCTACTAAACCCTACTAATCCCTGTTGAGTCCTACTAAGCCCTGAGAATGCAGACTCATCCCTACTGACCCTGAGCCCTAAACCCTTTTGTTTGTGCGAGAAGGTCTGCTTTTGTCAAAATGGTGGAGCTCGACACCTCCGAGGACGGCCAATTGTTTCGGGTTTGGCGATGGCATGCTCCCCCTAAAAGTAACAGTCCTTGATAGGGATTACAGTACCGCTTATTATAACCGCTATTCAGGACTGGAAGGCCAGGGAGCTGAGTGTGTCATTTTCTGACTGGCACTGCTCTCACACCATGTAGACTGGGTTGTGCTTTGGGATTACTTGAGTTTTCCCTTTTAAGGGAACCATTCATAAATAATTTCAAAGTGCTTTAAGCGCCACTCAGTAGACCCTTACCCAACTTGGTTTTCTAGGTTGCGTGTAGAGGGTTTAGAGGGTACTCGGAGGTTCAGGGTACTTATGACCCAATTCTAAGTGTAGTTATAGTTCTAGCCCACTTATAAGCCCCTTAAGTACCCCAATAGGGTCATACTTGGGTTATAAGTACCGCTATCATTGGGTTACTAAGTACCATGAACCTCCGAGCACCTTCTCCAAGCGCAAGGAGACGCAGAAGTTCATTCTGGATGCAGCCCGCCGCATGCAATTCTGCTATGATGAGCCGCCCAGAGGAAATTTCATGATTTTCATTTCATGCTCGAAAACCCTAAACCCCAAGCCCTAAACCCTAAACCCCTAAACTTAGAGCCTAAACTCTACAGGACGTGTCTTGCTAAAGCTCCTGGGTTGGCAGTAGAGCTTTAGTTCGACAGACTTGGTTAGGGCTTTTAGGCTTTTAAGCTCGTGCTGAAGCCAAGCTGTAGTTGTTGCCCTTACGAGCCGGTTGCCTCGGTGCATGGCTCTCTAGCGGGGTTTAGGGGCTAAACTTTAAGGTTACAGGGTTTAGGGTGTAGGGTTGACGTGGATATCGGGGCGGGAGGCAGGTGGGCAGAAGGCATGTTTACACGTGTGTTTGTTGAGATTGGCAAGTACACTGCTGAGCCCAAACGCTATAGAAATGCCGTTTCGTTAGGTTGTGAACACAATGGCCGAGGCACGAACGTGTGTGCGAAAAGACTATGCGCTGCAGACAGGCACCCTAAACTCTAAACCCTAAGCCCTGCACCCTAAACCCTATTCCTAAGCCTTAAACCCTAAGCTCTAGGCGCCTCCGCTATGCCGAATCAGGGCACATCCTACTGTGATTCGCTTCGCGGGGAACACGTTGGCCTGCGCTAGGCAGTGCTCGAGTGGCGACTGGCGCTGGGCGATTGAAGCAACCCTAAACCCTAAACCCCAAACACCAATAAACCCTAAACGTTGGGAAATGTGGGATGGGTTTGGTTTGCTTAGCTGAAGCCCCAAATCCTGAAGGAACATGTTTCAGTGGGCTGGATGGGCCAACCTAGGTTGGCCTAAGTATCGAACATCCCTTTCCTTCGCTCGCTGTTGCCACACTGGTGATTTTGTTAGGTTTCTTTGTCTGGGGGTTGAGGGGTTCAGGGGTTTAGGGCAGTAACCCTCTACCCCCCCCCCCCCCCCCAAGCCACTCTTAACCCGCCAAAGCCCCCCCAAAACCTTTTGATTTGTGCGTAGAGGGTTGCGGGCGGAAGGAGGGCTTTTCCTAAAGTCGATACGCCCGAAACCCAAAACCCAAAGCCCCATCAACCCCAAAAACCCACAACCCAATAGTATGAGGCTGCTGACCAACACGCACCAGCAGCGGCTGTTCGGCTACCTCGGGATGATTGCCCCCGGGCCGCCATGTCTAGGGTTTAGGGTTTAGGGTTTAGGGTTTAGGGTTTAGGGTTTGGGGCTTAGGGCTTAGGGCTTAGGGCTTAGGGCTTAGGGTTTAGGGTCTTAGTGTTTGCGGTTCACAGCTTCGGCTTTATAAAGTCTACAGAGCAGGCTCAAAGCATCTGCAGGCTCCTACAATTCCCAAAGCCACGCGCCCTAGTCCCAAGCATAGTGTATGGGGACTGCTGACTACTAAGAAGTACCCTAGGATGCCCAGTAGTGCCCTTATTCCCGTTTTGGGGGCTCTAGGTTCCCCTATAAACCCCTTTAAGCAAAAAAGGGCACCCTTTTTTATCCTAGGTTACTGGGCAACCTAGTACCAGCAACACTCTTAACCCTGAACCCTGAACCGCCTTTGTGTCCAGGGCTTGGGTTATGTTTAGGAGAGCCCTGCCTACTTTCCGAGCGTCAAGTTGTCAAGGCTTGCACCCTGATCCTATAACACAAAAAAACCTCAAGCCCTCTAAGCACGGGTTTAGGGTTCAGGTTTTCGGGTTTAGAGTTAGGGTATTCTACCAGGGATGGGCAAGGATACTAAGGGTTTTTGGAAGGACTGTCGCGGGGTTTAGGAGGGAAAGCTCTCCGCAACATGAGCCCTGCAATGCTTTGAGAGACTCTGACAGAACATGTTGCTTTGTGATTGTGCAAATGGATAGTTCCGTAAACAAGGGTTCCTTTCTGGGGGGTCCTATATAGAGTACGGCACGCGTACAACAAGGACCCCAAAAGGGAGAGAACTACTCAAATAGTTCAAGCTCTACTTCAGAAGAGCTCTGTTGCTGGTCAAGTACTTGTTGTTATAGTTTCTTGCCATTGAAGATGCAATCGGCACGCCTGCCGAAGTGTGAAGCCAATACTTCCAACGATTCAACGGTACTTCGCCCTCGGTGTGGGGTTGTTAGATTTTAAAGCTATAACTTTTCTCCTCGCCCGGTCTGCTCCTCGCCCATCACCCACATCCCACCCTTGAGTATCCCCACAGTGTCCCTGGACTCCGTGGGGATACCCTGGGGTCCGGCAGTCCCCGCATATACTCTGGCGTTGGGCTCGGGCTCTTTGGGGTTGGGCACTCGAGGGTTCGGCACTCCATCCACACCAGCTACGGACTCTCTGGGACTCGGAAGTTGGGGGCAACTCAGGGACTTCTACGAAATACTCTGGGGCGGAGGCGCTCCATGATACTCTGGGGTTGGGCACCACAGAGACTCTCTGTGGACGACTCTCACCCTAAACCCTAAACCTTAAACCCCAACCCTCAACCCTAAACCCTAAACCCCAAACATGCAGAGTGAGGTGGCGGCGCTGGAGCTTGCCCTGGCTCACCTGCGCAGCTTGGGGGCCGCACTTGTTGTTGTCACTTTTTCGGGTTTAGGGTTTGGGGTTTGGGGTTGGGGTTTGGGGGTTTGGGGGTTTGGGGTTTGGGGGTTTGGGGTGTAGGGTTTAAGGTTTTAGGCTTTGGGGTGCTGGATCCTTGAGTCTTCCTAGTTGTTTAGGGGGAGGGAGGGGTCCCTGCGCTCATGGAACCTGTGTGGGTCTTGACCCTGGTTGTCCACCGTGCCTGTGTTGCAACAAGAGCAGTCCTTTTCTGGGTACCCAAAAGGACCCATGCTTCAGAAAACCTTCGACTTACTGTACCTGAAACCCTACACCCTAAATAACCTCACAGATGGAATCATCGTAGGGGTCCTGCAACAGTCTCCTAAACGCTAAACCCTAAACCCTAAACCCTAAACCCTAAACCCTACACCCTACACCCTACACCCTACACCCTACACCCTACACCCTACACCCTAAACCCTAAACCCTAAACCCTAAACCCTAAACCCTAAACCCTAAACCCTAAACCCTAAACCCTAAACCCTAAACCCTAAACCCTAAACCCTAAACCTAACCCTAAACCCTAAACCCTAAACCCTAAACCCTAAACCCTAAACCCTAAACCCTAAACCCTAAACCCTAAACCCTAAACCCTAAACCCTAAACCCTAAACCCAAACCCTCAACCCTCAGCCCCGAACCCTAAGACGCAAGTCAGGTCACGTCCCGTGCCCCCATACATACTTTGTGGTACTTTACTGTAACTTTAGATTTTATTGGGTTTCCTTTCTTGTGTGTTTGTCATATAAAGGGGAACAGGAGAAGAGAAGGGAAAGAGAAGGGGAGAGGAGCGATGAAAGGAACACAGTTTTAATGGGAAGAGCCAAGAAAAGAATGGAAGAGAGATGAATAAAGGAGAAGGAGAGACAAAACAAGTTGCAAAGAAGATGGCGCTCTTCTTAATCCATCCCCTCTCCCTTATCTTCTTAAGGCAGCTAAAAGTTTAATTCATAGCTACCCTCCTGAGTGCAGCTAAGCATAGTATGAGCCCTTTGTGGGGGGCAGCCAGAAACGCGACCGTAAGCCCCAATCACTAGACTCTCAAACCTAAACCCCCTCTGCATTGGCCTGTAGCAAAAACATATCAACAAGATACCTAATTGGCCTGCGGCCCCGTTGCCATTGAGGTTGGTCACATGAAATTCGGCCCCGAAACCCACACCACGAGGAGAGGGCTGCTATGCTGGTGTTCGGGCCTTCCCTAAAAACCTAGACCGAGCCTAGACCCTTTACTCTTCCGCAAGCCCTATAATTATAAGTCACTCCCTCTCTGTGTCTTCAGCACCGAAGGATTGCTGTTAGGGCTGTGTTCGAGTTTGCGGGACAATCAATGGGAAGAACTTGAGCGTGCTACCATCTAGTGCACACCGAAACCCCACAACCCTAAAACTTGAGCCCTAAACCCAAAACCTCAAAGTCCTAAGAGCTTACAAGGCTTAATATAGGGGTCGGAATAAGTACTAATGTCATTCCCTTATGCCCCCTTATGGCTATATTACAATGACCCCCAAAAATCTATTCTATTGATTGAGGCCTTTGTTAGGGGGTTCATTGTAGTGTCTATAGAGACCCTAAACCCTAAACCCTAAACCCTAAACCCTAAACCCTAAACCCTAAACCCTAAACCCTAAACCCTAAATTACCCTAAACCCTAGAGATGCATGTTCGAACCACCCTCGGCTTCTGGCTCGAGAATTCAACAGGAGACTTTTTGGCGGGACGGGGTCGCTAGGGCTTAGGTGGAGTTTGGGGGGTTTAGGGTTTAGGGTTTAGGGCTTAGGGTTTAGGGTTTAGGGTTTAGGGTTTAGGGTTAGGGTTAGGGTGCAGAGTTGAGGGTTCAGGGCCTCAGGTACCCCAAACCTCACAACGGACCGAAGCTGGTGGCAGGTTAGGGCTCACGGGGTTCAGGTTGTAGGGCTTTAAAGACTAGGGTCTATACGGCTTAGGGTTCCACAGAGTTCCCCAAACCCTAAACCCTAAACCCTAAACCCTAAACCCTAAACCCTAAACCCTAAACCCTAAACCCTAATGTTGACCTCGTAATAATAAACCCCCCCCCCCCCCATCAATCAAACCCCCCCAAATAGAGTAGGGCCCCTTTGAATAAGGATTCCTTTCCTTAGAGCCCCCCTTCAATCAAACTCCCCCAAAAAAAACCAGCCCCGACTTGGCGTACTTTATTCCCACGGCTTTATTATTGCGGCCGGGACCCCTGGCGCACTTTAATATCAGGGGGTTCAATAATACGAGGTTAACATTAAATGCCCGCCAAAGTTCTTAGGGGAAACCCTAGCAGAGGGTGCCATCATGGCGTCGCCCTCGCACGAATCGACTCTCCGACGCCTGGCGCGCTCGGGAGACTGGACCATGGTACCTTCTTCTGGGACAGGGTTTAGGGTTTAGGGTTTAGGGTTTAGGGTTTAGGGTTTAGGGTTTAGGGTTTAGGGTTTAGGGTTTAGGGTTCAGGGTTCAGGGTTCAGGGTTCAGGGTTCAGGGTTTAGGGTTCAGGGCCCCCAGACACTGAACACCTAACCCTACAAGGTTTGGGTTTATAGCTTAGGATCTCGGGTTTGGGGTTTACGGTTTAGGCCGTGGGGGAATTTTTCCCTGAAAAAGAAGCCGAAGCTCCTTAAGCCCCGACGAAGTTTGCGGCTTTTAACCCTGAACCCTAAACCCTAAACCCCGTAAGCCCTAAGTCCTTTACTTTCTGAGTGAGTACACTTTCCACTTTTTGATACGATAATCCCCTATAGAACTGAAAGTGTACACTTTTTGAGGGGGCTTATGAACTCAGCAACTAAGAACCCAATCCTCACCCTAAAGCCGAAACCCTAAACTCATGCCTTTCATGGATCAGGCGGCCTGACGAAAAGGGCCCCTCCCCAGACTCCACTCAAAGAAACTCAAAGAAAGGTTCAACATTCAGGGCGTGGGGTTTCGGTTTTAACGCTTATAGGGCCAAACCTGAATTTATGATTGGACTGTCTGAGATTCACCTCAAGGGTTTAGGGTTTAGGGTTTAGGGTCGAGGGTTGAGGGTTTAGGGTTCAGGGTTTAGGGTTTAGGGTTTGGTTTAGGGTTGAGGGTTGAGGGTTGAGGCTTGGGGGTTGGGGGTTGGGGGTTGAGGGTTTAGGGTTTAGAGTTTAGGGTTTAGGGTGTAGGGTTTAGGGTTTAGGGCATGCCATATCTCACAAAGCAACGATAGCGGAGGCATTGCTGCTCCTGTCGCAGCTCTCGCCACCACCGCGGGAGCGCGCCCCGGGGTGAACTTGTAATTTGGTTTTTGGAAACCCTAAACCTAAACCCTAAACCCGAAACCCTAAACCCTAAACCTAAACCCTAAACCCTAAACCCTCTGTCCTGAATCCTTCATCCCGAACGATGTGGCCAAGCTGACGACCTGCTTCTCAAATCCACACGGCCCAAACCCACAAACCCTGAACCCTAGACCCTAAACCCTAAAAACCTAAACCCTAAACCCTAAGCCTACAATCCCTAAGCCCGTAAACCCAAGCCTATAAGCCCTAAACCCATACAATCGCCGACACCCTAACATTAACCCGAAGTCTTCAAACTACACATTGCTTAAGAACCCCACCACCCCCAAAGGAAAATAAACACATCAAAGTATGCTTCCTCATAAGGACAATTTAGGGGGATCATTATCTTTCTCTTTTGGGGTTCTTAAGCGACTAGTAGTAAACCCATAAACCCCAAGCCCATAAACCCTATAAGCTTTGAGTCAAGGATTTCGGGAGTGCGGCCTAGAGCCTTGCTTTTGTTTTTTTGTTTTTTTGGCGGGGGGGGGGGGGGGGGGGGGGTTGAGGGTTCTTAGGCTCTGTTGCTTAAGGGTTTGGGCGTAAGCCCTTCCTCAGTATGGTTGCAGTAGCTGAGAATCTTAGATACACTAGCTCGAACCATTCGAAGCTTGATTTGTTTGAATAGCCTCACGAAAATAACACACACAGGCACACGCAAAAACAAAAAAAACAAAAAACAACTGTCTGGAGACTCTCGGCAGTGTCCAAGGGGCCTTCCAGGACGTCCTCCACAGCTGCAACCAGGCTAGCCAGCCGCTGGCCTCTAAACCTTCAAACCCTAAAGCCCTAAACCCCCAAACCCTAAAGCCCTAAACCCCAAACCCTCACACCCCAACCCCTCAAGCCGAAACCGTAAACCCTAAACCCCAAACGTTTCAGGTTTCGGGGGATAAGTTCACAGCGCAAGCTGTGGGCTTAGAGAGGACATAGGGTTGAGTTTGGCGACGGGTTCAGGGGCTGAACTCAAACCTACTTGTCGTAGGTTGCCTATCAAATGGTAGTTTGGGTGCTCTTCAGCTGCACCCAAAAAAACTCCGAAGCCTGAAGAATCCGCCCTGGGGGGGGGGGGGGGGGGGGGGGGGGGGGCGAGGGAGGGGTATTCAAGATGATATGTAGCATATTCCTGACATGACTACATTGAGGTATCAAGATGGGCCCATCAGGTAGAGCAACCCCGCCCTCACGAAACCCGAAGCTCCACGTCCCTCCCGAAGCCCTCGTGCCCAAACCCCTAGCCCTAAACCCTAAATTTAAGAGCCTCCGGCTCAAGCCGCCGACCCCGCTGGAGCATAGTTGAGAGGTCTAAACCCGCTCGCATATACACACCTACATATATATAAATATATACATATATATATATATATGTATATATACATATATATATATATATATGTATATTTGTGTACATACATATATAGAGCTATATATATATATATGATGAATATAATATATATATATATATATTATACAAAGCTATAGCAAGCACTGTATGGGTACATACCAATATTAATTATATATATATATATATTATATATCTGTGTGTGTGTGTATGTATGTTGGTTCGAAGATCATCCCGGCCTGCTCGCCAAAGTTCTGTGAAACGTTGGGGGGGGGGG